GCAAATACTTTAGTCCATTGTTTATGAAACATAATTCTATTATACTTATTTTTACAGATGCTATGCAAGTGCAATGAAATATTTTCCTTAGCCAAGGAAATGAAATTTACAGATGTTAATAATTTTTCAGAAAGGTAAACAAACTCACATTTCTGAATACATTTCAAAATGTCTTCTCTGAGGAAAATTTTACTCGAGATGTATTTAGTACATGTAACATATTATAATATATAGAGTAAAATCTTTCTGGAAAAGAGGTTTTGAAATGTATCCAGAACATAGCCCTGAAGTATAAATATGGATAATTGTTGAGTGAGTGCTTGGTAGAGCAAAACTTTTAAAGAAATTATTTTGTGTAAAAAATAAACGAAATTTAGTCAGATATGAGAATTTGACTCAATATTTATTTAAATATGATAAAAATAATAAAAGTTGTATTCTCACGTTTGTAATTTTTAATTATGTATTTACAGATTTCTTAAAGCAGCATTTGTAATGGAAAAAAATTTGTCTCTTTTTCAATCAGTTTGTAAACATGTAGATATAATTACTACTATTATTGAATACTTAAATAATATTGGTATGCAGCTTATGTTTGACAATAAATATGGTAATGTTATCTTCATAATTAGAAAAGTTAAATTGTTATTTATGTTATATGCAAATTCTATTTTATGAACAATAGCTTATAATAATAGAAACATCAAATTTTTTTGTATTTCATTTTGAACTTTTTTTTTTAGAAGAATACAAGAAAGATGATGTAATCTTATTAGTGATATTTACAGTCTCGGAAATATATAAAGGACTTGATAATACAATGGATGTATTTTTGGAAAATGCTATCCTGTAACCATGATGAACTGTAACTATTATGAAATATAAGAAATATAAGTAACAAATGGTTAACGTACGTATTCTTTTTTTAAAATAATCTAAATGTATTCAAGAAAGAATACCGTTAATCATTTGTTATTTATATTTCTTATATTTAAATTAATATAAATTTCACAAACAAATTGTTTTTGTATTTTAGTCGACATTCTGTACTGGAAACTCGATATAAATATTTAAGAAATGAAGTTATAAGTAAGAAAACATATTAGTAATGTAATAAAAATTAATTTTTCTTTCATACTCAAGATTCTAAATTTTTGACAGGTTACACCAATGAAATAATACTTCTAGCGGATGCAGATTTGTATGCAGTCATTAATTACTTTAGAATTGAATTACCATTGCATTTAAATAAAATTTGGATCCAAGAACCAATAAAAGAAAAATTTTTATGGCTTATGGAGGAATATTTTGGAATGTCAAATTTGAGATCTGATATTAATACATTTCGAACGAAGAACGAATTATTTACAGCCGGTATACCTAATAAAATGAAAATTGTATCTATATGGACGGAAGATATTGTATTTGCTAAAAATTTAGCAACATCTTTAAATGTACAGCATTTCTATTATATAATATGATGCAGTTTTTTTTAGGCAATTTTTATAATTATTATTAATATTATTTGTTTTTTTTAATTATTTAGAGAGATGTTTTGTTTATAAATACATACATGGACTTCCACTGTGGTGTTGTACTTTTGCCTTATACAAAAATATTTGATAAAACATTGCATAAATGGTGCAAGTCTAATCTCGATGATTGTATAAAAAAATCAAATATGCAGAAAAATAATAATATAGTTTACAATTTATTTTATGATGGTATGTGGCAGCAACCTGTAGAAAGCACATATTGGGTACATAATGATAGTCAGTGGGCAAATGCAACAAGGTACAGCATATTTTCTTTATGATCTTAATTATAATTCTTTTAAATTTGTGATGTTTAAATTTTATATAAAATTTTCATTGATATATTATTGTAGTGAAGATGTTAACAGATGTATTAATTCAGCTGAAAAAGGATTCAAAATTTGGAGTACTAAACCTATTACTTTTAGAGTGCAAGTATTGTCCAAATTTGCATCTATATTAAGATGCAATGGGTATGTATTAAGTTATTAGAAAGTTTTTATATATTTTTATACTTAATTTGTGTATTTCTGCACTTAATTATTCGCAACAATAATTTTTTAAACTGATTTTCTCATATTTTTTTTTAGTAAATCTGTATTGGCAGATATAATAGCAACAGATATAAAATTCTCATATATCTATCAGAATTCTTTATCATGCTCACAAAGTGGAGGATTAGAAGTAACGAAAATTCGTAATCCAAAGGGTGTTATCATTTTGAAAGCGAAAGATGAAACTGTTTTATTTCGTCAATTAACACAAATTTTAACTATTGGTAATTCTGTTATTGTAATATGCGATACAAATTCTTGTAGTTTGGCACCATATTGTAATATGCTTTCGGCATCTGCAATGCCATCAGGTGTTATAAATTTGTTGTCAAATGAAGATCTAAACAAACTAGAATTAGCTTTATGTGGAACGAATTATGAAAGCTATGCAGAACAGTTTTTCTCAGAAAATAATATGGAAAAAATATATATAAATCTTACCATACCCAAGCAAATTATACTTCCACTTAAATAATTTTAATTGTAATATTAAATGTTTGTGACAAAAATATATGGATCTATATATATATATATATATATACGAGTTC